AGGTCTCGAGTTCGATTCTCGGCGCTACCAGATATTTTCTGAGAAGTAGTGGGTCTGCAACGGGGTCCACTCAGCCTCGTGCGGATAATTGAGGAGCTTTTTCAACGAAATAGCGGTTCCTGTCTAGAAAACCGAGATTAACAGCCGTGGGGGTACGTTGCGCTGACCACGTGACATCTCTGTCCGCTAAATTTGGCACTAACTTCGCGGACAAGCGACGGTCGCTCGGTCGATTTAGTTCGCTTGCGGACTACAGGCCACGGAATGAGTGCGCAACTGTTACTCCGCTGCGTTTGGACGAAAATATCATAATAATAATTTATTTTTCTTGACTGTATGCTGCTGCCGAAAATTTATTATTTGCAATGAAAATTGAATTTAATTATTTAATGACACTAACTTCATCTGCTTGTGTTAGTGTAGCCTACATATTGAGTTCACATACCGCAACTCGATGCCCCAGTATAGAATTGCTAATGACTCTCCTGCTTAAGCAAAGTGCTGTGTGAGACCGGCTGATCAGAGCTATGCATGAAACATACATTAGATCCAGAGCTAATGGGACGCACCGTAACACAAGTTAAACTACAATTAATTACCTGTCAGTGATTCCAATTATGTGTCTTCTTCAGCGTTTGAATAACGCTTCTTCAACAGCAACACGGCTACTAGGCTTCATCAGGCGCCTTCCACACATTTGCTGCTCAAAGATTACACGGACGTTTAAAAATTCATTCAGTCTTGGGCGTTAAAGCTAAAGAGTTTTCTGTGCCGTATATTTACTGAAGAATCAAGCTGTCTATACTCTGTTCGAAATATCTACGGAACGAATGTAAGCAAGAAATGACTAAAGACAATAGCGTGTTAACTTGGGGGTGCACAAGAATACTGTGTTCTTTGCAATAATAACATTTTAAGGTGAAGTACCTATTGCGCAATAGTAGGTGGGCTATGAACTTCACTCTCTTGTTTCTTCCCTCTTACTTGTTTAAATATAGTCCATAGACATTCAGAATTCAGTATAGTGCTTTTTTTGTGTTGATTGAAGTCAGGGAAGTCAATGTAANGGGGCGATACGTTCCTCCGAAACGTCGGTTAACACCACATATACACGGTGCCAAATCCCAGAAGACTGCTTTCTTCATAGTCACCGCCGTGAAAGCCTCAAATCTTACAATGTAAATGCTGTTTCAAAACAAAACAAATGTGTTATTAAAGATGACGGCAAAAGGTATAGCACATTCGGGTGAGAAGATGAGTTCAAAGGGTTTGTAATGTGGTGGAACCTTGGGCTGTTAGTTCAACGACTGTGTAACTCGAAGTTTTCATGGCAACTGAACACAATTAATCCCTGATACTGTAGACAAGGATCTTCTGTATTTCAGCATCCCGTTGCAGTTGTTCACATTAGCGTCCATTTGTCTATACCCGTCTAAATTGCAACACTTGTTTTATATTTCAATATATTCTTTAACAGTTAACACTACATGTTTCGGCCTCAAAGGGCCATCTTCAGGTGTTTTATTACAGACATTTACTCAAGACCTTGTTATAAAACAAGTGTTGAAATTTAGATGGATATAGACAAATGGACGCTAACATGGATCTTCTTCGAAACGTCGGAGTTTATTCTGCATTGATGATGGTGTTAGTAAGAGAAATAATCTTTGAAAAGTCAAATGACTTCTCGATATGAGTGAGGAATGACACCGGACAATGCTGTACACTTTAATATTTTTTCCTCTATTTTCACATACCGGTATTCGCCACAAACTTTGCAGATCATGAACACAAATTTTCATAGAATCAGCTTAAATAATTACATTACATTACTTTATGCCTAAGGAGTTTGTTCAGTATTTTGCTCAGTATCTGCGGCTTATACTGGATGATGTTCTTGCATCTTGAGTGCTTGAAACACTAATATTTTCCAAAATAATAGTCACAGTTGTTGAACACAATCTTAAGAAAATCTCTTATATTAACATTTTTCAATTTTCGTGACTCTTAATTTGTTCATAAAGAAAATTGAACTTTAGAGCTTATTCTGCCTCTGGTTAAAAGTGTAATGCTTCTTATCTGTCGAGAAGTCTTCGTAGCACAGTGAAAACTTCGAGTCTGAAGATTATAGAAAAGTTTAACTGTGAACTAACTCGATGGAGCTGAGAATTTCTTGAAAGGTCGCAAGTTGTGCAGATATTCAAGAACTCCCCAATAGTTTATGAAAAGAGAAGGTTCATTACAGTGTTCACAAGAGCCCTCAACTCGTCCCCATCCTGAGCCAGAGTAATCCAGACCATATCCCATCCTGTCTCTCTAATAAACAAATTAATATTATCTTCCTAGTGGTGTTTTTCATTCTGGCTTTCACACCAAAATTCTATATGCATTACTCTTCTCCCAATTCGTGCTACATGCTCTGCCCATCTCAACATCCTCGACTTGATCATTCTAATTATACTTGGAGAAGAGTACAAGTTATGAAGCTCTTCATCATGCAGTTGTTTCCAGCCTCCTGTCACTTCAGACCAATTTAATCAAAATATTCACCTCAACATATGCTTCAAAACCCTCATTCTATTTTTCTCGCAGAAATAAAGTTTCACACTCATACAGAACCACAGGAAAAATTATAGTTTTGTATGTTATAATTGTTATGTTTGTAGACAGCAAAGGAGAAGACAAATGGTTCTGGACTGAATGGTAGCAAGCATTACCCGAGTTCAGTCTCTTAATTTCCTCCTGAATCAGGTTTTCATTTGTTATCGTCGCTCCCAAATATCTGAACTGTGCCAGACGTTTTATTCTTTCGTTTGGAAAATAGGGCATATATATATATATATATTTTTTTTTTTTTCACTTTCAGAGTTGCATCATCTAACGGTAAATATTTAAAAGGGGATTATTTTCTGTGTTACAGTTATTGACTGTAATTTGCAGGAAAGGTTTGTCTTAATAAAAGGTAACACTTTTGCCGTTATTTCAACGCTGTATTCGTCATGAATGATTAATTCTAAGAAACTGTTTTCCTGGAACACATTAGTATCCCGAATACAGAGTATTCTCATAATATTTTATTGCTTAATTACAATATTAAATGGAAATAAACATTGTTATCGCCATGTGATTTTCAAAATTAACAGATAACAAGCAATCGCATATAAATACTTGACCCTCCTTCACACACATACTGTAGTACAGGGTTACTACAAATCATTCATTTCATTTCAACGCACTATATTTTCCAAAGTAATACACATAGAAATACGATGGTTACATTAAGAGAACCGCAAACTCACTAAGTTTGCATCGTGATACACCAGTTGGCAGCACAATTGCATTGTCTCACAAAATGGCGACGAAGCTGGAAAAGAGTTTCTGTGTGTTGGAATATGCGAGATGTTCGTCTGTTATTGCAGTGCAGCGTGCATTCGGAGCAGAGCACAGAAAAGATCCGCCATGTAAACAAAGGATTCTGCGGTGGTATGGGCAGTTTAAGGATACTGGGTGTCTGTGTAAACGGAAAAGCACGGGGCGACCAATATAGTGTTTTGAAATTGAATGAATCATTTATAGTAACTCTGTATTTTAAATAATCACACCTCACTTTCACAGGAACATTGCGTGATGGCGTAACATTGTAAGAGGAGGAAGATAATTATTAAACTGTGTTCATCACTTATCTAAATATTGCCGTCTGTGTTTCCGCTTCTCTCACTTTACCTGATTATTTCGAGATAAACCATACCAAAGTTCCATACTCCGCTAACACTTTACCAACACACTTGACTTCGTCTCAGGTCCATGCTAATACGCCAATGTGTGTTATGTTATTTAAACATATTTCATTTATTTCATATTCCAATTTTTTATCTTAACAAAACTCTAGATACATATATATATTTATATGAGTATATATCCATGTCGCTCATTTATTCAACATTAGCGTCTGAAGTAACTTCTTATGACTCCAACAAAACAGCAAAATTTACACTGGACACTTGAAGTTATTCTTTTAAAGATCATATTTGCTTAACAGAATAATCATATAACTCTGAAAATGAGCTCTCTTTATCAACCTGTTATCGCCTGTAATTCAGGATATTAATCATTACATTAGTCGATGTTGAAACACTTACTAGTAAAGTAAAGTAAAAGTAAAATTATCCCTGTACCAGGCCGTGGAGGCCCATAGGGTTGTGAGATGTTGAGGTTCCAACATTTTCTAGACAATCGGCTCAAAGATGGCGGTAAGGTTGTCAGCCTTACGCGCCGGCCGCTCTTTACTCCCCAGGAAAATTATTTAATTAATTCCTGGTACTCATTTCTGTTAGAGGCTGAGTCGACCCCAGGGCCATAGTGCGGCTGGAAGGATTAGGTCAACTTATTAGAGCGAGTAAAAATATATAGACCTTTCTGAACCATGTCAAACTTCTTACAGACAAAAATGTACACAGAGCTGGTTGCAATGAAAGTTACTGTCTAGACTTTGCGGGAGCACGCAGTGGCGTAGTTGGATGAGCCACTATGCTACAAGCCGGAAGGTCGCAGTTTCGTTTCCCGAAGGGGTTACTGGATATTCCAATTGATCGAATCCCTACAGCCGCGCTATGGACTTGGGGTCGACTCACCCTCTAACAGAAATGAGTACCAGGAATCTTCCTTGGGGGTAAAGGACGACTGGAGCGTAAGGCTGACAAACTCACCGCCATCTGTGAGCCGATTTTCTAGAAAATGTGGGAACCTCGATGTCTCACAAACACATAGGCCTCCAAGGCCTGTTACAAGGGTAGCTTTACCTTTTATGAAGACTTATGCCTGGGAGGTACTCGGTTGGAATCCCACCTGTTGTCTTAGCTGAGGGTTTTCTTTTGGTTTTCTTCAGTTCCTCCATCATCCATCATCTTACTATTCGATGCGGTCTCTGTACTGAAAGGATTGTAAAGTATCCCACAAACCCCTTACTATAACTGCACATTATCACACATTCATAGTAAAAATTCGGTTTTCAAATTTTATTCATTCAATTTCAATTAGTATTTTCTCAGAATAACATAAGTATTACATGTTTTCGGTGATGATTGAATCTGAATTTTTCAAGCAACAGTTCCTACAGTTCTAACTGAAATTGAAAGCCTCAAACTCTGTTATCACATCGCAATGAAAGTATGTTCACATTGAAAGGGAAATTTTTAGCATTTGTGCAGTTATTTATAGTAAAATATTGGTCACAAATACATTTAATCATTTCTTCATTCTAATTATATATTTACCACTTCACAGAATAACAGAAAAGTTAGATTTTCCAACTGTTGAGTTAAACTGCACACTTTAATACTCCTCTATATTTTCATAAGTGAAGTGAAACAATTAGAATTATAATTGCCTTATGGCTAATGGATGTCTTTGAAATGTTTTATATATAACAACCAATAGAACTTCTTTGATTATAAAATGTCTTTCATTTCAAAACATTTATTTTTATTATACATATGTATATGAATTTCTGATTTGTTTGTGGCTCAAACGAAAGAAAGTTGAAAGTAACTTTTGACGTTAGAAGCCATACGCTTGCCTTCATGACCTTATTACAACAAACTCTTGTGAGTTTTCTTTGCTCCAGAGGACAGCCTGTTATTTGCCGCTCTGTATGTTCACATATGTGACCTATTATTATGTAATTTTCTGTAGCATAAATGTCGTAGGGTAGAGCAGACGCCATAATATAAATCTAGTATGCAGTTAAGTTAACAAGGTGAAAATTTGATAAGATTCAAATAATGTGACGATATTTACTTGCGATAAACATCGTACAATTGTGATTCAGCGGCAAATCGGTCAAGCTTAGATCTACCCGCTTAATTCTTTCTTTGTGACATTAAATTTTTCATGGATGTGTCAGTTCTAACTTCTTTCTGTACCTAAAAGCTTTCTCAGTTTAACAGATGAGAGATTCAAAGCCATTAGACTTTATTTATACTGCGGTTTGTCATTTAAACTTTCCAGAACCTAAACAAGCGATTCTTTAAATCTTGTCACTGAAAGCGAAAAAGAGTTAAAAGAAATGATGAAAGAGTAAGATAAGATTATGAAAAAGAAGGTGAAAGGACAGAGAGAGACGTTTCGAATTAATGTCCTGCCTTCATTTTCTGTATAGGAGAGAAAAGTAGATAAGCTTACTTTGGACGGAGTTGCACAGATGTAGCAACAGAAGCCCTGAGAGAGCCACTGAGAACATTGAAGCAGTTTGAAGCCTCTATAAGGGCCAGAGTAGAGAGATATGAAGATGAAAGCAGCACATTCATCATCGGTAAAAATTTACGTGACTGCAGGCTTACATCCCAAGTGACAGTACTCTGAAACAGGATGCCCCTCCCCTATTTAGGAAAATTTTGGATAGTTTATGTTCTTAAGGTTCTGAATTCTACGGGCACTACTCCCTATGACATATTTTTTTAGTTCACCATGTTGGGTTGAGATGTCTATTGCACAAGAAGTTCTGTAGTACAGCTATTTAGGGCTCTACAATGCCCCCTTTGTAATCTTGCCTTCATTTTTGACAAATAGTACCATATCTGTTAGAATATTGTTTTCGTCATTTTCCAACTACCGACTTTTATAAGAGTACTGTGTTTCGGAAAGTTTCTTACATTTAGATCTTCATAATACGAAAAAAGTTCCACCCTTTTGGACACCTCATTGTCTCTCTTCTGAAGGGAGCAACAGTGGTTTTCTTTCGTGTCCTGATCGCCTGAAGACGGATATGCAACCATTTGCCGAAACAGACTGGTTAAGCCCAAAATAAAAGTTTTTAACAATGTGTCACACCAACGACAAAGCAACTTTAAATGTTAACACCGTCTTAGTTCTGTTGTGAAGCTCTCTAGTCTAGGTGTGTACCTCATACTCTTTCCCGGTCATACTTGGTGAGTTGCAGCGGCTCTGCCTTATCTTCCGCCCCACCGAGAGGACTGTTGGACTGTGGTCGAGATTGCCCCAGGTGCTGCTGGAGGGACAGCAACCTGGAGCGGTCTTCAACCTCGTCATCTGTATGATCGTTCACGTTGATCTCCTCAGAATCTGATGAACTGTTTGAAGCATACCCATAAGCGGCTGGTGATACAAGGTGCGAAGTTGAAGTGGTCAGCATCCGGTGGTTGGGGAGGGCTTTGAACGCGCTATTTTCTCCTCCCATCTGCAGAAGAAGTTGCGTTGTCTGATTCAGCCCCACCCCTGAGGCTGCTGAATGCAGATGATGATGATGATGATGACGTACTATAGTAGTATTGTTGCAAAGGGTGGAGGGTTGTGGAGAGCCAGGGGTGGAAACGCCCTCCGGAGAGCCAGGAATGGTGGTTGTTGAAGTGCTGTTGGAAGTGGTGCTGGTGGTGATATTGTGGTCTCCGTATGGTGCAGAGGGACGAGGTGGGGTTGTTGGTTGTTGCGACGGAGGCGGGGGAGGTGAAGAGCGTTTTAGGAGGTTCATGCGCTGGTGACGTCTCCATTTTGCGCGTCTGTTGGAAAACCAAACCTGGGAGTCAATGGGAAAGTATAACAACCCTGTTTTAGTTATTTGTTCGCTCTTTGCAATAATATAACACATTAACAGATAGGTCAGAGTCGGTGTTATTGTTCTCTGAAATATTTATTTTAGAGATGAGTCAGCGCAGAATTTTACGTCGAAAGCATCAGAACAGAAAAAATTCAGATTCAAAGTAAGATTTGAGGTTTTCACGGTGTTGACTATGAAGATCCCGTCTTCTTGGATGTGGCACCCTGTAGATATTTTGATAACCTACTTTTCGAAGGAACATATTGTTTCCATCTTCAGGGTATAAGAAATCCACGAGCGATGAACCAGCGTAAGCAGGTGTACAGACCTCTGCTCACGCTGGTTCATTGCTCGCGAATTTCTTATACCCTGAAGATGGAAACTATATGTTCCTTCGATACGTCGGTTAACAAAATATTTACAGAGTGCCACATCCAAGAAGACGGCATTCTTCAATTCAGATTCAACTTTAAAGTGAAAACCAACGACTAATTTTGTATTTAATTTCAACTGGCTCACACAACTTCAGTGAGGAAGAATATTTTCTTCTGAGATGTGACGCTGTGTCATTGGATACATTTTAATCGAAGTTTCGGAGGGAAGTACTGACTCCTACTTCTGAACCCCGCTTATTTCTTGCTTGCTCACTCTTCGATAATGAACATGGAAGCAGTTCTTTCCTACGAAACGTTGGGGAACGTTTACTTGTCTACATGAGTTCACATCCCAAAACACAGTGTCTTCATAGTTAATTGCTGTGAGAAACTCGAATCCGACATGTTTAAGACTGAAACTTTTGGTAAAATCTGCATTTTGTGCAGATAACAGGTAAGACTTTTACCTTGATTGCAAGGACAGAATGTTAGTACAGTTAATTTCAAACTAACATTAGCTTTGATAAGGAGAACTGTAACACCGATCCTCTTTTTGTAGCCTCCCTAAAAGATTACATCGCGGCAATTAAGTAGACAAGTAGGTGCCATGTTTGCCATGCTGTCAATTGCATATTTTATAAATGTAATTGAATTATCTGCGCCTAAAACTTTTTAAAATATTTGTTTATATTTATGGCTTATTCAAATCCTGACCTGAACTTTGAATTACTTTACAAATACAGTATGCGCCAAAAGTTCAATACCGAAACTCGCGCATCTCAAACGCGCATGTGCATTTGTCGCCGGGGCATAGCTCCAGCCGCACGTGTTCCCAGTAGTGAAAAGGAAGTTGTGTTGTGCAGTTGTTGGAAATGGGTCTCCCGACGGAGGTAAAAGTATTCATAGTTGAGTATTATTTCCGCGCATACGAAAGTGGTCGCCAGACAACTCGCTTCCTTGGTTTTGAGCAGCCAGATGTTATTGTCCAGAAACCGCTACACAGTACACGTGTGACGGTATGGTGTGCCGTCTCAGCACACGGTATATTAGGCCCCTATTTCATTGAGGATGAGGAAGGCAATGCTCTTACCGTCACCCAAGAACGCTACAGGGACATGGTGATCGGACCATTTCTTCAGGATCTGAGAAGGTTCTGTCATGCAAGGGGCCTTCACATGAAGAGACAGTGGTATCAACAGCACGTCTTTTCATTTCAGTACTGAATTTGGCGCATACTCTATATACCAGACTGAGTGCGCTAGTGATATACAGCGTGAATATTTTCTTATTGCTGTGTGTGTTTAAACAAAAACGGATAGTTAAAAATTTCCTCATGAAATCTGTATTTCATCAGACTTTTCGTTACGTATGTTGAAACTCAGAATATATGAGTTAACAATAATAAATCTGTGGGAACTGTAATGAACTTAGAAGCAGTAAGTGTGGCACGGGCGTTTTTGCAAGAAGAAATTGATTGTAGAAATTTTGCACCATTCGTTCAAACAGTTTCTTTTTGCTGGTAAATTCTTCTACAAATTTCAGTCGTTTTTGTTACTTTTATTTATAACTTTAAATGTGAAATATTAATGTTAAATTTTTACAAAATTATTTTCCGTTTACTGAAAATGAAGGATTAAAAGGAGCTAAGAAAAATAAAAAATTCTCTCACTTGAAATGAATACAGGACTATGTGCAGACGTCCAGTCTGATTAAAAAATATCTTCATAAATTCAAAACCAGAAGTTCAACAAAAAAACCTTGTTGGATGATAGAGCTTATAAGTCAAACCCAGGGCCTTTTAAATGTACAATTTTTGTACATACTTTAAATCGGAATAAACGCATGGTTATGTCAGATAATGGAAAAGTGCAGCCTTCTAGAATATGATGGTATACATTTTCGATACGCTTCTGTATTTAATTTCTGTAATGAGAATATTACTTATATATTTACATTGTTGATGCGTAAGTTTTTATAAGGACAGAAGTTACCTGTATAATACGCAGAAAATAAAATTCTGTCTTGCAATAGAATTGTTTTATATGCCGCCAATAGTCTGTTAATCCTATATATATAATTTCAGAACTCAGTATGAATAAACCATATTTGATACTCATTTTGTCCTTTCTAAAATTAAATATAAAGTTATCATTTATATAAATAAGTTCTATTCATTTAAATTCGTACACTACATACTTCTTATTGGCATAAAATTATATATATTATTCATTTCTAAGCATTATATGAATTTAAACTTGGTTACAGACTATAAATATGAAGGGAAGTTCCAATATCACCATATGATGACATTTCCAACGAATGTCAATATTGATCTTGTGAGAGTGTAGCATTTTATAGATTAAAATTATTGACATTTTGAGCTTTATCCATTGTTCTGTTTTTATTTCTAAAAAAAGGACTGTGGAAAATATCCCCAAAGTCGAGAATTGTATTAATGTGCCATTGTCAGAGATTCTTTACCTCATTTTGTAGGTTAGATCTTGCTAATCGTTCATTTATACTAAGTCAGTTCTTCATTGAATTCACATCCTTGGTGATTGTTCTCAAGATTATTTCTTGTATAAAGAAATTATGAAAATTATACGTGGCAAGTTCCAAAAAAAAAAAAATCCTAAAGTAAGTTAGGAATAATGTTAGTGTAGTCGAAATCTTAGGCACGCCGCAGGTAAAGACAGACCTCACGCTTCTTTCAACTTGTACGATATAAACAAGGACGAACCTCATAATTCTGGCACCTCTGTACATGTTACATGCTGTTTTGCACCTTTACTAATCTTGAGGTTTCCAATGTACGTCCCACAACAGCTGTAAGCCGCAAGAAATGCAAGCTACGATGCTATATACAAAATATTTACTTATTATTATAATTAGATGTTGCGTGGTTTCTTGAACCATGTAAGTAGGGCATCATTCCGGACACCCTTCGAGTGACTGGATAATTTCTGGGGAGGAATTAATTTATGAAGCTGTGAATATCTTGACCACATTACGTCGACTCGTATAGTGATTCATTAATCGGAAAGGATTTGTAAGGAAACAATCGTGGATTAATCGTGGTCCTACACCGCTATTTTCTTGGAGGAAGTGAGGAAAACCACGAAATATCTCAGTAAGAAGAGTAGATTTCTTGATCGGGATTCGAACGCAACCCAAACCGAGTAGGAGCCTAAATTATTATCGTCAATCCAACTGTTAGATTGGTAATTTACTAGAATTAAAAGCTGTGTGTCTTTGCACAACACTCCATATTAATTTCGATAGATATCACGTGATTTATTGTCAGACGAGCAGGTCCGGACAGGATAGAGACATGCTCATTCAGGCATCTCTCTATCCCGTCTCTTAAGGCTCGCTTTGGGACTCAATTTTTGATACGTGTGACGTGCTAACATTTTGATTTTTGTGTAAATCATACCCGTATATAAAATTAAATTTTTCTTTTTAAATTCCCTTAGTGGGGGGGTGGAGTCCAGCTGTGTCCACTCGGCACGGCGGCCACTGATTGGCCTATTGTAGCCTGCCCCGGTGATTATGATGATGTAGAATTTGGTGGAATGAAGATTGGCAGAGGAAACTGAAGTACTCGGAGAAAACCCGCCCCAGCGCCACTTTGTCCACCACAAATCCCACTTGACCAGACCCGGGATCGAACCCGGGCCGCCGCGGTAGGAAGCCAGCGACAAATCGCTTGAGCTATATATAACGACACTTTTCCAGCTGCAATGATTATACGTCAAATGATAATGCCACTTGGAATTATAAAGAATAAAGTAAAAAAGGTAAAAGGTAAAATTGTTCACGTGCTTAAATAATTAAGCGCTAAGCCATGAAGGCGGATGAAGAAGTGGATGTATAGATCCATGTTTTCTTGAACTCAGCATTAGTTGCAGGTGAGTGGTCAGCTTTACGCCCCGGCCGCTTTACCTCCGGGCGAAGTGCTCGCGGCACATATTGGATAGTTGATTGAGTGGCCCCCCAGAGCCGGTCTGGACGATGTGGAGAAAAGAAAATTCTTGACTCTACCGGGACTCGAACTCAGACCACTCGATCATCCAGTCCCTTGAAGTCGCTGCACCCACTACGCCATCCCGGTTTCATTTAGGGGTAAATACAGTGGATGGAATTGGCCATCTGTTTTAAGGTATGAAAATTATTTTATTCTGAGAAGTGAAACGGCGTACCACAAGATAGGGCGACAAGTTGCTCCTATATATTAGTAATTATCTATCAGCTGCGCCTCTGTGGTCTTGTGGTCAGAGTTCCTGGCTACAGATCCAGAGAACCCGGGTTCGATTCCCGGCGCTACCAGATTTTCTGAGACGTAATGCGTCTAGAACGGGGTTCATTCAGCCTCGTGAGGATAATTGAGGAGCTATTTGAAGGAAATGACGGCTCCGGTCTAGAAAACCGAAATTAACAGCCGTGGGGATTCGTTGCGCTGACCACGCGACACCCTCTAACCACTAAAGTTGGCACTAACTTCGCCGACAACCGGCGGTCGCTCGGTCGATATACTTCGCTTGCTGACTAAAGCCACGGAGTTTTTTATCTATAGTTTCACGTCACATGAGGCAGAGGCATTTG